CAAAGCTAGGGCATTTATAATGGCTTAGAAATGTTTGATGAGAAACTTTAACTGTAAAAGAAATATTGAAGCCTGAGGAAAAGACCACACATTTGTTGCAGCCCACAAAAGAGACACTGGAATTGATGAGGTGCACTTGGCTTTGAGTACCAGGCCTTTGAACTTGGTTCATTTATCTTCTCCAAGTTGGAGATACCCAGGAAGGGAAAAGGAAGTTTAGCAAAATCCTCAGCACTTAATTTCTGTCAAGTCCTCCCCAAAGTACTAGGGGACATAAAGACAAGAATCAAAGTTCCCTCTCTTCTGGGTGATGACTGTTTGTTTTGCTACCGTGAAATTGGAACAGTGGACAAGATTCATTTTCTGGGCTACAGAACAGGACAGCACCTCTAAACTGTCTCCTGATCTGAATGTGTCTTACTTCCAAACCAAGGATGGGGGTTCCAGAAGCAACAGTTAGGCCTTCTGGAATGTTGCTGAGGGTTGCACAAACTTCACCAAGTGTGAACCATGGCCAGTCAAGGGATGGGACTCTTCCATTGTAAGCACAAGCCACATGTCTGGTCTCCAGTGTAACACCTCAGCAGTTTCTGATCCTTCCTTGTGGTTTGTGGTATATTAGGAATATCAGCCCCTACTGGTTTTTAATTTTTTATTTTTTACTGCTTTTCTTAGAAGCTGTTCTCTTCCTACACAAGTGAATGTGACATAGTCAAACAACACATTTTATCATAAATTAAATGTAAGAATGCACTGTAAGTGCGGGGGAGGTGGAGAAAAGGGTGAGATGGACTACTAGTGGCATTTGAAACTAGCCAGTCCTGGGAGGCTGTCCTGGTACCGGTGAGCAAAGCCCAAAAGCCAGTGGCCATCACTGGGTGGTCAGCCTGTGGTCAGACATGAGGGGATGCTCATGTCTGTAAGACTGCACATATGTACTACATACATGTCTACACAAGGTGTCTACAGACACGTGTACATGTGCCACACTCTAAAGCTCCAAGTTCTTCTACTAAGTGGCAAAAATTTCAGAAGCATTAAACATGGGCAAGAAAAATTTCTCTCTGGCATCTGTTACAAGGCAGTGAGTCTTAGAGCCATTTGTGTACTGAAATCTTACCCCAGTCCTGACTCAGAGCCTGTGAACCAGCAGTGACTAGCATTTGGGCACTGGCGCTGGTGGGACAGGGGCTGTGCAGTCCACTCCAGCACCATCTGGCCTTCCAGGATGGCACACTTGCCCTCTGCTCTGGGTTATACTCAGGGGAAGACGGCATTTGGATAAGGGGTTAAAAGACATCATTTGAGGCACCCTTCAAGGTTGACCAGCACTTCCACACAGCCCACATAGGGGAGACTGACCCTTGGGGAGGAAGACTGAGGCCCAAGTTCCAACAGGACTGAAGGATGACAGCCCTCCTCTTCCAGGCAATTCTCTCTCACTTTGCCTTAAGTATAAAATAAATGGGAATTAACTCCTGAGTATTGAAGCAGATGCTTTCACTCAATCATCACAAGAATATGGGTTGGGGTATGTCATCCCCATTTCAAAGATGAGAAGACTAAGGCTTGTCCACATCAACAAGGGACAGTCAGAATAAAGCCTGGGCCATTAGACTGCAAGTCCCAAGAGCCTGACCACTGGACAACATGTCTTCACTGTCACTGTCACTGGGCATCAAGATAAAAAGGAAGAGGTGGATGGAGGGATGGAGAAGGATCACTTTAAATGTCTACATCAACTTCATAACCAAACAGAGGTATTGCTCGCAATGCTGGGGTGCTCCAGTGGTAGAGAAAATGAAGAAACAAAAGAAAATAGAGGGTAAATATTGGAAATATGCATGACACCCCTTTGTTCTTGGGATATCAATTTGCTTTGAGTGGGGGCCTGGGATAATTGTTTAATTTGGGTGATCATGGTGCCAAGCGGTGCCTGTTCTTGCTCTAAGTACAATGAAGTACAATCGTCACATCTGAGACACAGTGTTCACAGCCTTTTCTAATTCTCCACCCAATTTTTGCTCTTCACAATAGTCCTCTGGGTTCCCTGACATTAATGGGAAATGTGTTCGTGTGGCGGGAGGGGGGAGAAGGGAGGCGCTCTGCTCCGTCTCATCAAAGCCATTCCACGCACAGCCTGCTTCCTGCGTGCAGGGGAATGTCGGGTTTTTTAGCCCTTTCCCAGTCACTTCCACATTAATTAGTAAGGGTATCATTTTATAAATTACAGCTTCGTATCAAAGGAAAGCAGAGTTTATCTTAATTCAGTCAGCTGTGTGAAATACAGTACCCTAATTTTAGACCGGCAGTTCTGCGGATCCCCACGGAGTAAGAGGATGACAGGTCTTCCGGAGAGAAATCCCAGTGGGTCCCCGACAAGTCTCACTTTTGCCTCCAACAGCATTCCTGGTGGGATCCCAGGACACTGAGTGGCATCGATGCTGCCATTAGCAATTCAGATTTGAATGCGAATCCTCCAAGCAGCACATGAAGGCAGCCGTGGGGGGCGCTGGGGCTCTGAGGGGCACAGCAAGGGGCCCTCCACAGAGCAGGCGGCAGGGCTTGGTTCCCATGGAGTAAAGCCTGGGAGGATGGAGCTCAGGTCGGCGGTAAACATCAGATAATCTCGGTCCAAAAGGGGAAGGCTGACAGACTTAACTACAGGGCCAAGAAGGTCTGGCTGCAATTATAGAGCCCCAACTGCTCCTGCTCAGAGACCTCTGGAGACACACATACAGGAGGAGAGCACTGGTGTGGTGTGGCTCCCAGTTAATCCTGTTGTACCACCAAGTCCAAAGGACAAACAACCAGGGCCTAGGCAGGAAGCAGGATGTGCAGGGGAGAGCACTCCTGAGGCCCCACCTCTCTCTTGGACTTGTCTGTAAGCACCTATTTATTCTCTATCATTGGCCTGAAGTCACCTTAAATTGAGTGGTGGTTGTGGGCTACCTTTCCACCCATCATCCTGAAGTCCTGCTTCTTCTTGTCCTCAGAAGGAAAGTGGGCACAGTGACTCAGAGATTCATGAAAGAGCCAGTTGAGGTACTCGCCCAGGCACACAGGAAGCACCTTGGGCCCTGATCCCTACAACATCTGTAAGTGGCTTAATGCTAGAAATTCCTGGAGATAGGTGATCATCTAGACCAGTGGTGGCAGACGTCCTCAGGGACTCTTGAGGTAGCAAATGTACCCCAGGGACTTCACCTGGGTTGAGGTCCAGGGTAGGGCAGCTACCCAGGAATTTGGGTATATAGGTGAGACTGAGCCTCCTGATCCAGATGCTTACTAGGAATTCAAATGTGCATTTGTACCACCTTCTCCTACCACTGACTTCGGTGATGCTTCTGAAACTCACATTTCCTTTTGGAGGAGGAGGTCTGCTCATTGGTAAAACCCTAAGGAAAGCCCATCCCCACTGGAGAAGGACCACAGACATGGAAAGTGGGATCACATGTATAACCTGGGAATGGCCAGAAGGCCCCATCCCTTCCCCACGGCCAGTTGGATGATTACTGGCACGTGCCAATGTGACCACGTCATAAAGGCTGAACGACTGCCGCTGGCCACGCATCCTCACCACCCACTCACACTGCCACCCAAGACCTCAGGGGTCCCACTTCCAAGGAGCTAAGACTCCCAGGGCTGGAAGCAGGCAGCTCCTACTTGTCAGTTAAACAAAAGAATAATCCACAGCCCCCTTCCCAGTGTGTACTTTCGCTGTCATCCAACAGCCCATTACCATGTCACAGCACAGTCCACCCTTCCGTAGGTCACTCTGTTTAAAATGACATGGCTAATGCACATGTCAGCAAGCTGACAGTCCTGGGCGTCCTTCAGAGATAAAAACCTCAAGGCGAGAGCCTGTTCTTATCAGGGGGACATGCATTGGTCTATCATCTAAGTCAGGCAGAACATGATTTCTCCAGAGAGCACTTTTTTCATTTCCTGATTTTAAGGAAATCAAATAAGCACCATTTGTCTTCATCTGAATATGCTTGACCTGCTCAAATGATGATGTCTTGCATTTTATAACGGGCCTCATATGCTGAATTCAAATTAATGACGGCGCCTAGCAGGAGTTTTTAGACCTCTCCTGGAGGCTGGCAGGAGAGAAGGAGGGGAAATGCCTGGTGGCATGTGGAAAGGGCTCACTAAATACCAACTGCAGGACTCCACACAGAGGAGGTGAAAGTCAAAGGCCAGGCCTGGCTCAGACCACACGTCGGGGGGAGGGAGGATCAGCCATTATTTTGGTGCTAAGCAATATGGAAACCTTGATATTCGAGTAAGTGTTTTTAAAACCATAAAGCATCAGTTCGGATGGGAAGAAATTTGGTTGGCAGATTGGGACAGCTTAGAGAGAAACCAAAGACACAGCCCTTGGCCTCAGGCTCAGGCTCACTTTACCAGTCTGGATCCAGTCTTCTGGAGCTCAGTTCTGAGCAACTCTTCTCATCCTTGGTGTGCTGGATGCACAGAGGCTGAGCCGCCAGCCTTGAGATACAAGGTGCACCTGCTGGAAGAACTGCCCCCCACCCACAGAAGACAGGATCCCCCACCTGGCCCCATCACCCCACCCTGTGAGGAGACTCTAGACACACACTGTTGACATTTCTACTAAGAAGACCAAGGTGCACAGAAAAGAGGAGGAAGGCAGATGTGACAAAATAAATAAACACTAGCAAGTTTAACGTTCCCACCATGGATTAAGAAATAATTTCCTCTTTAAAATTGTGTTTGGGTCTATGAATCAACTTTCATAAAGTGAGAACTCAGTGTCGCATAAATGCAGCTTTAAAGGGCCTGTTTTGAGAGAAGCGCATCTCACAAATCCAGCATGCGACATCTTATCTCAGGAGGTGTCACCGTGTGAGTAATGCCCGCCTTTGGATGAGAAGTAGTACTGTTGGCATGAAGCTGGAGCCCACCCCGTGGCAGCCTGTAGGACTACAATGTGCAGTGTGCTGTGTACTGTGCCCGCCATGACGGGGTCTTACCTTCTCTTCCTGATCGCTGTCACTGTCACACTGAAATGAAGACAAGAGAATGAAGGTTAGGGCAATCACTGTGCTTTTGTGATTTTGAAGACCCCTCCTCCCCCAAAGAGCAAGACAAGTCAAGGAAAGAGGAAGTTGTCTGAACTAGGAAGTTTCTGTGGCTCCATTGCTAGTGGACAGAACCAGAGGGAAGGGCTGTTCAGAAGCCACCAGCTGTCCTGATGCCTGTGCCCTGTGGCTCTTTACATGGTTAGGGTAGTGAGGTGACCCACTCTGTCACCATGTGAGTGGGTCCACTGCAGAGCACAGGGGTGTCAGTGTAGGAGCCGACCCTGCCATGGAGTGAAGGGGAACCGAGATCCTTTCTTGGGATCCAGAGCCAAAGACCCCCTGCCTTCAGCTTTTGCAAATGGCCGAGACTCTCCTGGTGCCTTTCTTAAGGAGAGACAGAAACCTCTGAGTAGTGCATGCTTTCTCTTGGGCCTTGATGGAAACAAGGCTTGCCACCTGTGATGCCTGAGAACAGAAGGAACATTCTGACCAAAACACGCCAAAGATAAGAGGTGGGGTAATGAATGAATGGTACGGTCGAATGGAAAAAATAATTTAAGGTAATAAACTCACACTGTACCTACAAGGTCCCAGTGCCAACTGCTGATCTGGGTTTGGGATAACCAGAGAATAATGAACTCAAAGCTTTGGAGTCCTCAGAAGCAAAGGGAGAAAACCAGCACCAATTCTTTTAAAAATCCAGACTGCTTTGATGCTGGGTGTGTGGTTCACACCTGTAATTCCAGCACTCAGGAGCTGTGGCAGCAAGATCAAAGCTTGAGGCCACCCTGGGCAACATAGTGAGTTCGAGGCCAGCTTAGGTTTCATTGTGAGATCTTGTCTCTAACAACCAAAAAGAAGCCAGGCACTAGTGGCTCACATCTGTAATCCTAGTTACTTAGGAGGCTGAGGTCAGGAGGATTATGGTCTGAGGCCACTCTGGGCAACACTTTGTGAGATCCCATTTGAATCAATAGCTGGGATGTGCCTGTCATCTTAAGCTATTCAAGAAGCTGAGATCAGGAGGACTGCAGGGGCAAAAGAAGATTGGGAGACCCCATCTCAATAGGACATGATGGTGTGTGTGTGCCTGTCATCTCAGCTACATCAGGAAATGATGGCCTGGGCAAAAAGTGAGACCCCATCTCCAAAATAACCAGAGCAAAAAGGACTGGAGTTATGGCTCAAGCAGTAGAATACCTACCTAGCAAGCATGAAGCCCTGAGTTCAAACCTCAGTTCCACCAAAACAACAACAATAAAACAACCAAAGCATGCTTTGTTAAATGATATTGTATTAGAGCAAATGCTCAGTGGATAATTACACACACTTATCACACACAGCCCTGGAGAAGGTGCTGTGAGCTACACAGAGGATCACCTAAGACCAGCCTTCAAGTAACTGCAGTTCAGCTGTGACATAAACCATGGCACAAATACTGAGAGGGGAGGCATGGTCAGAGTGGCAATGTATCCAGACGACTCTTGGTGGGTGGCGGACAGCACGGATGCACACGGGGGAAGGAGACAGCCAGGAAGAGGAGTAGGCAGCCATGACAGTGCACCAGCATGGCACTGGTTTGCGAGTGGGGAAGCAGATGGCACAGCAATTCTGCAGGGAGAACCAGCAGGACTTGGTAACGCATGGATGTGGGACAAGCCTAGGATGATGCCAAGGTTTTTACTGTGGCCACCTGGACTTGGGAGTTGACGTAGCTCTGAACAGACATGGGAAATAAATCTGCTTGTAGGGATGAAACCCACAGCCATTTACAACTTCCTTCTTCTGAGTCTGTATCTTTCCCAGACTTTGGGGTTGAAAAGACAAATGTTCTCTTTCCCTAATTTTTCTTACAGCTAAGGATGGCTAAGACCTCCTTTTGGTCAATGAGATTTGAAGTCTATGGAAGGTTCTAGGGGAAAAAAAAAACCACCTCTTTTCAATGAAAGGAGAAGAAAATGAGATGTGATAAGAATGTGATGTCCGGATCTGCAGCAGCCATCTTGCAAAAATGTGGTAAAAAGTCTAAGTACAAAACTAAGAAAGGTCTGACACAGCAAGCCACTGAACCCATCTCAGAGTGGCCTGCTTCACCTTTTTTGTTCAGAAAACCATCTTATTGTTTATTGCTACTATTAGAGTGTTTTCAAAGAAAGGCAACAAAAGCCCATCCAAAGGGACACCTGCTGTTGTGAGACACAACCTGGAGACTTCTTTGTCTACACTAAGCATCTACACCACAGTCATCTAGGAAGTTCCATAGTGCACTGTCAGTTTCTCCTTCTCTCCCCTCAACCTGCCCTCCTTCATGCCTCAGGGTTATCAGACACTGAGCAGCAGTGCACAACTCTTCTTGTGAGGTAGTTGGTGACAGCTGATGAGGGTGGCGTGGCATCTGCCCACATCCCAAGGGTGCATGCACAGGGAGGACGCAGGGAAGCATGGGAGGCCCGCCCCTGTCCTCACAGCAGTGTGTCCCGGGGCACGGTGATTTCCATCGAAGTGTTAAGCCCCCTGCTTTCCAGCGGTCCAGTTCTAATTTCAAGGTCCACTTAATTCTGCATCGAGTGATTACTGATATGCCAGAAGCGCCTTGTCTCCAGAGCTAAGCATATGGTGTAGTGCCGAGGCCTACTGCTATCCATTATGGAAGTGGCACGGGTGCCAAGCCGATTACAGACGCTCGGCCTCCCCACACAACAGGGCCGGGTGACTGACGGCTCCTCCCCAGGCCAGCGCCAAGGCTGCCAAAACAGCCTGGGCTGCTCTGGGGCCCACATGGCGTGCGGAGCAAACGCTTCCATTTCTGGTATTAAATTCCCATACTGACCCGAGGACTTCGTCGGCAGCTCAGCAGGAGCGCACCATCCAATTTACAGCTCTGCTCTCTGGAGCCTGGAGTGCCAGCCCCTGGCAGAGACGAATGATGGTCAGCCCTCCAGCTCATAAATTATGCAAAGGCAATAAATGCACTCGGCAAACAGCGCCGAGCGTTTGCCTCGCCTGGCTCCAAGCGCACACTCTGTAAAAAGCCAGAAGCTGCACACAGACAAGAGGTCTATTCCCCTCATAAAGGGGGTCTGTTGACAGCCAGACGGAAGGCCAGCCACGGTCCTGAGGAGGCTTTCTGCTTCGCTGGCAGCAGTTTATGGGCCTGCTTTCTGAAAAAGGGAGGCTGTTTTACAGAGTCGGGATGGGGAGGATTCATGATCTCCAGTTCCCATTCCAAACACTGCATGGCTTTCACACCTTGAGTTCAACATGCTGCGGCTTTTGGCCAGATGAGCCTTGGTTTCGAGGGCGAAAAGAACAAGTGTGTATTCCTCCCTGGACCCCCGTTCCTGCTTCCAAGAGTTCACGCAGAGCCATCTCCTGATTCAGATGGACTCTACTCCAGGCCCGGGATGAAAGTGGGGTGTCTTGTGCAGAAGCGGGTGCAGGCTGACTGAACCATGGTACACATCTGTACACAGTCCCGCCTCAGTTTATTAGCTAATAAGTTGCACACTAGCTTGGGGGGGGGGTGTGTGTCCAAGACACCATCTTTGAGTCACCATCTCAAAGCCCACCGTGAGAAACTGAAGATATTTTCCTCCATCACAAAAGCAAGAAATGCAAAAGAACAACTGCTGCCTTCACTGCTGCCAGGGAAGGAGTCTTGGTCACTTGAAAAGAGGACATCACAGTCCAAGCCAGGCTGGTTCCCAAGGAGACCAGCCACATCAACACAGCTACATCTGCTGAACTCCACAGCCACCTGCTTTGCAGAGGTGAATGGCTGCAAACACTACCTCTTCCCAGCCAAGTCCCAGCCCTTTCACTCCAAACCACCAACCATCCACCCAGCTTTCCCCCACTTTAAAAATACATATTTATTTACTGGATATGGTTTTTAAAGTTGTCCATAAAGTTGGGTAAACACTGCTAATGCAGCCATATGTTAAAGGAACGTACACAATTCATTTGAAGAGATAAAAATGAATCCCTAACATTTTGTAACTTGCTTTGGTTTTCATGTAACATGTGAAAGCCAGGAAGATTGTGGCTTTGTCAGTAATATTTGCCTGGGCATGTCACTTTACAAAATGGCTGCTCTACAACCCACTGTATGGACTGTAACATAATCTAATAAAAAATTCCCCAGTGCTATGTATTTGGATGGTTTCAGCTGAACATTCTAGAATTTTCCCTCTGCACACATTGGTGGATATTGCTTTTCCCCAGTTTCTTCTCCTGGCCTTGCCTTTGTTTTCATGCCTCCAGAGTTGCATTGTGGCCACTGTCTCTATGTGATGTCCAAGGGGGTCCTGAACAGCCCCTTGGTCCCATCTCCATTTGTATGCAGAGACTAAACACTCTCTGTGCCAGTATTTGCCAGCTGTGTGACTTTGGGAAAGTTATTTAAACACTCTTGTGCCTCAGTTTATGTACCTGTAGAATGTGGCTGATAACAGCATTTTCAAACAGGGGGGTTGGAATAAAAGGAGTTAAGGCATCCAAACAATTCAGACCACACACAGATGGTGATGCTCGCTTTTGTCTGTTTGTTAAGTTCTCCTCCCTTCTGAGGCATAGCAAACCCTAGACTTCAGCATCTGGCTAAAGGTGGACTCTGCACCTCTCTAGCTGTCCTTGGAAACAGTATTGCCATGTACTAATCATTCAGTTGTATAAGAGTCATCTCCTTTGCCTCCCTCACCAAGGAGACTCACTTCCTTGTCTCCATACACTGCCCGGTCCTCTCCATCTCCACGGCCATGGTCACGGCTTCAGTTCAGGTTTTATGTAACCATTATGAGAGCCTAATGACTGCTTCCCGGGCTCGGTGGTGGCTTCCTTTTCTAATACATCCTTCTGGACCACAGTGGATTTCAGCAATTTCTATTTGACGATGATGACTCCCAAGGCCTGTGACTCTTGATATTCCACGGTGAAAGACCCCTTGGTTTTGCTTTGGTTTTCTTTAATTTCCATTACGT